GTAATATCCAAAAGATTATCGACCAACGAAATCACAACTACAGGAATCTTAAATGCGTCTGCACAACTCTTTGGAATTTTATTAATTTCGTTGATGGACACGTTAGAAAACTTAAATAAAAAATTTACAATGGAACTTTCGAATTGGGTTTTGTTTGTGATGGTAATCGGTGGATTTGGGTTGTTGTTTTTGATTTCACCAACAGAAAATGAGAGTTATGATAGAAATGAAGAAAACTAGAAAGTATAGATGTTATTATACTAGTAATTAGAAAATTTTGTAAAAAAATTATCATTTCCAATAATAAACGTTCCCCCATAAATTATCAAAAATTGAATTAAATTGAATTGAATTAGGTCATACAAAATTAATCAATTAGTTTTAATAAATCGGCCTCTCAATTTTGCGAATATAAAAATTCTCGAACGGTGAAATGGTCTCAATTAGCAACCTCTGAACTTTGATCTTTAGATATGATTTTGATAGTTTCTTTTATCTGTTTTAATAATGATTCTATTTTTAATAATTTTTAATAATTTTTAAAAGAAATTGATTGATTATTTAGATTATTATTATAAAATGTTTTAATTAATGATTTTTGTATCATACCAGCATCTTGAACTGCTTTTATATATTCTTCATTAGCCGCTTTTAATTCTTGATCTAGCGATTTAAGTATTTCAATCTATATAAATAATATTTGAAACTTTTTCATCAGTTATGGTATATACTTTATAACGTAAAATAAATAAAAAAAAAGTAATGCTGAATATTGGTTTAAATCATACTTGTTCTGCTTCTGAATGATTTATACCAGGTAAAGCATCAATTAATAATTCTATTTGTTTCGCTTTTTTACAGATATCTTGAACATGTTCTTGTTGTGCATCTTTTGTAAACAAAAGTGAAAAAAAAAGATTTTGTTTAAGATCATATTCATACAATGATCGACTAAATGTATTTCATATATTGTAATCGGATTCGTACCTTTGGATTTGCTTGGATCTAAAATATGGCAAAGATAAATATAATTGATTTTAATAAATAAAAGTTAAAGATTATTCAGTACCAACACAAATTCTGGAAAAATGCAATTTACCCTGCGTGTTTAGATGATGAACTACTACAAAAAACATGCGAGAAATCTTTTTTAATTAAATAAATTAATATATCATAACAATTTTTCAAACATGAAACATGCATAATCCTAAATTTTTTTCAATTATCTACGTACGCTATCTATAGAGTCTTGTAATTGAGTAAGTATGTCCATGTTAATAGAGGAAGCTTCGACTAAATTTTGCGAATTTGAAGAGGGGAAAGAACTTTGCATGAATGAAAAATTTTGATTTTCTTCAATTATTAAAAAAAAAAATAATTTCAAGATAAAAATTTCAACATAACGGAGTATATAAAGAAAGCATTTTAGCACGTGATAAATGTTCGTGTTACATTTCTCAGCATATTTAAATTAAGAGATGTGTCCAATTATTTTTGAACGTTTGACGGAGTAAAATAGCGCTAGCATTAACGTTAACGCTCAAAGTCTGTCAAACTTCAACCTATCGAAAATGGATATTTCCGAGATCACTACAAGCACTTCACCCACTAATGGAGGTGAGTCCCTACAAGAAATGAGTTTGATTTCTTTCTGACTTTTCTCCCAATCGGTAGATCTTTCTGAATCAACCAATTCATAAAGATCTTTCGTAAAGAACTTTGAGTTATTAAATACCTGTTGGTAAAAGCGGATCTTTCAAAGAATCTCAACAAGTGTCTAAGATAGCTCACCGATCTTGTTTCTGTTTAATTGCATAACTATACAAGAATTCTTTCTGATCTAAATTATTCGCGATAACAGACGTCGACAATCTCACTACGCAGATTGAAAATCTAGATACCCAAGAACGTAAGAAAGATTAAATAACTTTATATAGTTGTTTTGTAAGCTGATTTTCTTGATCTAATCTTAATTTTTTTTTTTTAAAAAAAAAAAGCAAAACACAGATCGTTACTAGAATCGAGTTATGAGGTTAAGGTTACGAGTGTCGACGATGAACCTCTGCTTTCTGTAACGAAGTTCGAAGAATTAAATTTGTAAATAATTAATATACATACATGTGTATAATGTTTATCAGTACGATGTTAAAACAGTTTGAAATTTGATACTGAAATTTGAATTTTCGGTCCTTGAAAATTAGGAGCCCAAACTTGTTGAAGGGTATATATGAAATGGGTTTTACAACTCCATCAAAGATTCAAGCAAAGGCATTACCCTTGCTTCTCAAATCTCCGTATGTAGTGTTAAACAAAAATATTGGATATTAT